CGGCGAGCGAGCCCTGCCCGTCGATGTCGATCGCCGGTCGTAGCCTGGCCGCCGTCTTCAAGCGCCTCCTCCAGTTCACTGTCATCTCTGTTGCCATAGCTGTTGCCGTGCAGCCTCTGACGTCCTCGCTGCCGCCTCCTGTCGACCCTCACGCTAAGCTCGCCCGTGGCGGCGGGTGGGATGCGGCGCTCCTCGACCCGCTCGACGCCGGCCTCCGCTCGGAGATACTCAGGTATGGCGACCTCGCGCAGGCCACCTACGACGCCTTCGACGGCCGCCACTGGTCCAAGAACTGCGGCACCTGCCTCCACGGCCTCCGTCGCATGCTCCCGGCCCTCGGGCTCGCCGGCCACGGGTACGTCGCCACCGCGTTCATCTACACAACCTGCGACGTCGATATCCCCCGGTGGCTCATGGCGCGGCTCCACGCCGACGCCTGGGACGACCACGCCAACTGGGCCGGGTACGTCGCGGTCGGCGGCGCGGAGGAGGCCAGCCGGGTCGGGCACCGGGACGTCGTCGTCGTGTGGCGCGGCACGATGGCGGCAGAGGAGTGGTTCATGGACCTGAGGACGGGCCTCGTGCCGTTCGACGCCGCCGACGGCGACGGCGCCATGGTGGCCGAGGGGTTCCACACCTTGTACACGTCCAGCAACGCCGGGACCAAGTACGGCGCGCGCAGCGCCCGTGACCAGGTCGCCGACGAGCTCAATCGGCTTGTGGACTACTTCGGGAAGCGCGGCGAGAAGGTCCACGTCACCTTCACGGGGCACAGCCTCGGCGGCGCGCTGGCCCTGCTCTCCGCCAGGGACGCCGCGGCGGCGCACCCGGGCGTCCCCGTCCGCGCCGTCACCTTCTCCGCGCCGCGCGTCGGCAACAGGGCCTTCTGCGACGGGCTCTCGTCGCGCAACGTCAGCGTCCTGCGCGTCGTCGTCAACACCGACCTCGTGCCGACCGTCCCCCGGACAGCGCTCGAGGCCTCCGTCTCCGGAGTGCTGGGCGGCCTGTGGGCGCTGGTTGGACTCCGGCAGGCGTTCGAGTACGTGCACGTCGGCCACGAGCTCGCGTTGAACGTCTCCAAGTCGCCGCACCTCAAGGACTCTCACGACCCGGTGGGGTCTCACAACCTGGAGCTGTGCTTGCACCTGCTGGACGGCCACGAGAGCGCCGCCGGCGAGTTCCGGCGGGAGGACGGTGCGCCGCGGCGTGACGTGGCGCTGGTGAACAAGCGTTCGGCGATGCTGAGCGACACGGAGGGCATTCCGGAGAAGTGGAGCCAGATGGCGAACAAGGGGCTCGAGCGCGACGGCTCCGGCCGGTGGGTGCTGCCGGCGCGGGAGCGCGACGACATGCCGGCGAACGACGTGCTGCCGCTGTCGGAGCTGGACTAACGCGTCCGATGATCTACCTGTGTGTGCTACTACTCTTAAGTGTCAATTTGCTTAGTGTGATGATGTATTGATGTGTTAGTAATTACTAGTTTGTTCGTAAACTGTACATTTGCAAGCTTCTTAATTAGGGTAAAACAATTATTTTACTCTGAAAAAACTAAAATTGCAACCGTGAATCCAGTGTTTTGATCATAATCAGAAAAACTGCAATTTAACTCCCAACACCAATTTGTTCACCATGTCATATTGGCCCAGTTTTTTTGGTTGATTCTCCTATAATCTTGAGAACCCAGTCCTTTTGGTCGATTCTCAAGATTCTGGGAGAATCGTCTAAAAGAATTGGGTCATTATCTTTTATGGAGAGATGCCACTAGCAAAACATCCTGGCCCATTATTACTTTCAATCTTGATTTTTCAAAAAAAAAAACTTTCAATCTTGATCAACTTTCTTTTAATTTCAGTTACAATCTGAATTTTAGTTTCTTTTGTTGCAATCACTAAAACATCATATCATCCTAGTGCAAAGTAGGGAGATAATATGGGTAAGACCTGTTCAAGGGGTTGTAAGTCCTGCCTTTCTCAACAACTTGGCAATGAACAAGATCCTTGAGGATGTTGTCCTAAGCAACCTCTTAAACAGTGTCTGTATCAGGCTCCATCATGAACAAGGAAAAGTACCAGCAAGTAAAGACAAAGGCATATGATAAACAACAAACATTGCAACTCAAGCATGGATGATGCATTGCATTTTAAAAGGTTTGAGGTGATCCAAAACTAAGCTAGACATTTTTAAATGGAGGTAGAAATCCAAAGTACGGAAGGATCCAAAGTGAAACTCCATGTGCATGTTAAGATTATAGTTGACTTACTCCTGGTCAGTGGGTTAAAGTTGTTTAAACATGCATGCGAATGTCATATTCAGATTCTTCACATTTTTCTGATGAAAATGCATATATTATTTACATGAATTGGAGTTAGGATGAAAATGTTATGCTTTATGCAAATTTAAAGGGTTTTTATGCAAAATAGTTAGTGCACAAAATGTAAAGTGCTCAAATAAGGGAGGTTGTTATGACGACAATTGGCATATTTTCACTTAGAATTAGGTGTCTTCCAATCAATTTTCAAAATATCCTTCTTTTTGAGAAACTGGGTGAAACAATAATCCTAGAACTACAGACCCTAACGGACATTTTACGAATCCTCTACACTAGTTATCCCACACGTAGAATCCGTAAAAACTTTTCATGGCTCTAGCATAACTCCTGGTGAAATCAAGCAAAAGGGGCGCGCACCGGGTAAAATTCAGAAAATCTCACATCTATTATTTAGAAATAAGGAATAAAAGTGATGAAAAATCTACTCATCATCTGACCCAAAAGTTTCGGGCTATCTATATAACAGTGAGACATCAGTGAATTTGAGGACCCTCTCTCATATATTTTGGTTATGTTTGTGGGAGCACTTTTGTGTGTGTATGTGCAGTTAATTCCCATAGTACGTTAAAGGTGCACCCCCTCTTAGTAGTGTAGTTGGTTAAGGGCATATATGCTCTTTCACAGTCTTTGCACGTTGCGACTTTACCTCGTGCCTCGTGACAGACGGCGAATGCCTTCTCCTCCTTTGCATATGTGGCGTGATGATTGGCACACGACTCTGAGTGGGTCTGTGAGGATTGAAGAGCAGAGAGCACCCCTCCCACTTCTTTGCTTTGGCAGCCACACATGCGACACACGCCTCCTTTCCCTTGGTGGCAGCGACCTCCTCTGCATGGTAGCAACATGGACGCCATCTAATGGGGAGGGCAGGATGTTGTGTCGGTTGTTGTGGGAGATGCCGGTGGAGGTACGGCCAGTTGAGCTTGCATGACGGAGATGAGGAGGATATGACGATGGGATGAGTGTGACGGCGACGCGGATATGTGTTTTTGTTGGGAGAAATGAGTGGTTTAGGGTTTTGGAGGGAGGGGGCGTGGACAGGCTTTAATAGCCGGGTTAGGCTCCTTGGACAACGTGCTGGGTGGACGGGCATCAATGCGGGTAGCCGGAGGAGTGAGTCAGGTAGGGTTCTTGGTGGGACTAGTATGTTGGCGTTTGATGTGAAGTATGCCTAAACTCCCCTAGAGCTCCCCATTTGAGATTGGATTTCAGACGTTTAGACCAGTCCAACCACCGCGTTGGAGGCCTAAAAGTATCCAGACCGATTAGATATATGGGGACTTATTTTTTAATCCCTATATGAGAAAAAATGCCAAATGAAGACCGAGCTTCATGAAGGCCTTAATTTCAAAAGTTTAAAATTCAAACTTTTTCGTTTCAAAAATTACACATATACCTAGATACATCACGAACATATGCACAAATTTTCAGGCCAAAATACATTAAGAGCTACACAAAAAAGACAATCTGAGGCCTTTTAGCATTGTACTGTTAATCCTTAAAGTCTATAATTTTGTTTTCTTTGTACATCTTGCAATTCAAGGTATTTCATCCTGAAATTTTTCATAAATACACATTGCATCCTTGTATAGTTGTGTATTTATTTAAAAAAATTTAAATTTTAAAATTTTCAAAATAAAAGCCTCCATCAAGCTTATTTTGTACTCCCTTGGCCTAAGGCCTTGTACAATGCAAGATGCTTAAGAGAGATGTTTAGAGAAATAAAGCAATTTTTTTGTCAAGCATCGATGCTTATTTATACAGGGTAGACGCTTAATCAACCAATTAGTGCGTGAGGGCCCACCTGTCAGCTTTCCCGGCTTACTTCAACAGTCCACGCGCTCCTCGCACCGCAAGTTCTCCCATAACTCCGTCGGCCGCGAGACGCCGCCGCAGTCTTCGGCTGCTGGCGCCTCCAAGGTGTAGGCCGAGCGGCTCTCCGCTGTGGTGATGGTGGCGAGGCAGGGGCGCGATCTGCGGGCGACACGGGGGCGACGCTGGGCCGGTGGATGCGCGGGTGCCTCCTCCCGCAGGGGGTGACTCTGGGCCGATGGCCTCTCCGCCGGCTAGCTGCACCGCCGCACCATCCGGAAAGAGCGGAAGACCGCGGAGGCCGCCGGCAGCGCGCAGGCAGGTACTCGTATAATCAGTTAATAAACCGTCCGATCCATTTTTGTTTTGGGTTCGGCATTGACCAATCGAGGTGAAATGCGGACAATGTACGCAGGAGTCGCTGGCGACGGCGAAGATGGTGGATCTCGCCGGAAACGGAGGGGGAGATGGAGGCCAAGGGCCCAAGGCGGAGGGGATGAGGACGGCAGGTCGTCACACGCCATGGCTCCTATGTTTGACTGACACCAGAAGAAGAGGAGAGGAGAAAACAAATGTCGCCATCAGTTGATCAGAAATTCAGAATGCTGCTGCCCATTAAGTGGACACGAGAGCGGATGGGAGGAGAGGACCCAACAGAGGATAGATAGGGCGGGCTCCCCCCTCCACACAAGCCAAAACGATCCCTGGCGCCTCATTTTTCATTCCTATTAGCACGCACCGAACCACAGGTTTCAGACAAGGGATATACCGCCGCCATCCTGGACAGGCAAACAAAGCCCTCTCCTCTTGTTTGCGCATCGTATTTTCAGTAGCACAAGCTCAGGGAGAGGGGAGAGAGATGGCGGCGGCAAGCGTCTCCCTGAAGAGCAGCCTCTTCCTGTCTTCCCCTCTTTCCGACTTCGGCGGCGCAGCCATCTCCATCTCGGCCCAGGTGATCAAAAGAACACACAAGCTTTCTTTGATTCGGGGATAAGATGATCAAACTAAAAATGGTTGTGAGTTTTCTTTCTCTTTGGCAGAATAGGAGAAGGTCATGGCAGCCAAGGGGGGCGAGAATGCAGGTGGCAGCAGCTGCAGACTCCAAGAACATTCTGATCATGGGGGGCACCAGGTTCATTGGTCTCTTCCTCTCCAGGAAACTTGTCCAGGAGGGACACCAGGTCAGTCTGGACATACATTTCTGATCCAAAGAATGGCTCCTTGGGCTAATTATTTTATTACGACCCTTAATGTTTTGAGAGTTTACATGAAGTAAAAAAGATGAATTTTGTCAGGTGACATTGTTCACCAGAGGAAAGGCACCCATAACCCAGCAGTTGCCAGGTGAATCAGATGCAGAGTATGCAGAGTTCTCTTCCAAGGTATGGCGTTTCCTCCTATCCTGTCCTTGTGTCACTTGTTCAGCCTTATTTGCATAACAATCGTGATATTTAGGATGCCTTTTGCGTGTAGGTGCTGCATTTGAAAGGTGATAGGAAAGACTTTGATTTCGTGAAAACCAGCCTTGCTGCTAAGGGCTTCAACGTCGTCTATGATATTAATGGTAAACCGGACAGCTCAATATACACTTTTTTATTAACACAGCAGCGCCGTATTTCATTGATTAAGCACGGAAGTTAAATTACACGGAGTAGTTACAAGCATGTAAGGATCAGCAGTCTAGAAAAAACTAAGGAGATTCAAGGGTGCTGCCAGTCTATCTTTCGGAACTCGGAGCTTCGCAGCGTAGGGGTCTGCGATGGAGAAATTGGATCGACAATCTGTTATCCTTGGCGAGCACTGAAACTTGGTTAAGGGATACTTCTCGGAGTACATCATTCATAGGAGGAACCATCGGCACGGATATCCCCTCCCGCCTCTCCTTTTCATGCTCTGCTTGCCGGTTTAATCTTGCTTGGTCTGAAGGCATCCTTGTTCCCTTTGGTTCGCGGATTGTTAAGCATAGAACTTTGCTCTATGCTGATGATGCTGTGATTTTTATCCGCCCTGATATTGAAGATGTCAGCGTGGTCAACAGTCTCCTAGATCCCTTTAGCCGGGCAACTGGTCCTTCAACCATCATCGCCAAGAGCAGCATTTTGCTCATTAGATGCGACCACATTGACCTGAATGCTATCAGGCTACAACATACTAAATAGATAGATCTTTCGGGTACCACACTAATGTTTGTTCATAACTACTCCCTCCGTTCCAAAATAGATGACCCAACTTTATACTAAGGTCAGTACAAAGTTGGGTCATCTATTTTGGAACGGAGGGAGTACCAACCAGGTGCAAATAAGCCTGTCAATTACACGAAAATGCCAAACGGAGACCGAGCTCCATGGAGGCCTTTATTTGAAAACTTCAAAATTCAAAATTTTCAGATTCAAAAAATTCTGAAAATAAATACGCATATACCTAGATACAAATTGTACATGTGTGCAAATTTTCAGGTCGAAATACATTAAAATGTGAGCTACACAAAAAAGACAAATCTGGGGCTTTTTAGCATACGTACTGTTCATCTTTAAAGTCCATAATTTTGTCATTTTTATGCAGCCCGTAATTCAAGGTATTTCATCCTGAATTTTTTTTCACACATACACTTTACATCCTTGCATACATGTGTATTTTTTTCAGAATTTTTTGAAACTGGAATTTATGAATTTTGAATTTTTCAAACTAAAGGGTTCCATGGAGCTCGGTCTCCAAAATGCCCTACTCTGTCAATTAGTACTATAGCACTGGAAGATTGCTTCTGAAATGCAAAATGGCACTTCCCCAACTGAAACTATCATCTGATATCTCCCAAATGTTGTAACTCTTCTGTGTCATGGTATTTCAGGGCGTGAGGCCACTGAAGTATCCCCCATACTAGAAGCGTTGCCGAACCTGGAACAGTAAGCTGGTTACTTGATCGGATGCAAAACAAGAGAGTGAATTGCGAAAAACCACCATATTTGAGGCTTCATCTGCGGAAAACCACCAGGTCACTAATTTTTTGCAAAAATCACCGCGGATTCGGTAAACATTTTGCAAATCACACTGATTAGGTGATTTGGCTCATTTGATCACTTTCTGACAAATGGGACCAGATTGTAAGGAGCTGACTTGGCATAACATTTACACACACACCCTTAGATCTAAAAAGAAAAAGCAATCAGCCCCTCTTTTGCACAACTGCCAGAGAGAGGAGAGGAGGAGGCGTTCCCGGCGAGGCCGACCTCGTCGGTGCAGACGGCCGCGCAGTGGAGGAGATCCCTGCGGAGAGCTCCTCGACGGTGCCGGCGGGGTCGGGCCCATGCGCCGCCGCGCGGTTGGAGCCGGGCGGTTGCTCGGCCATGGCCTCGCGCTCATGTGCTGCTGTCCACGCCACGCACAGGCAGCGGAGGAGCTCACCATCGTTGGTCGCTGCTTGCTCCGGTGATGCGTCCGAGCTGCACGCCGCCGCGCAGCTGCTGCTGCTTGTGCTCGTGCTGTGCTCCGCTTCTTGCTCTGGTGTTCTGCGCTGCCGCCGCTGCTTGCTCCGGGGCTGCGCGCCACCGGCCGGGCAAAGAGAGGAGGGAGGAAGGAGAAAGGGAGGCGTGGGTGCATCGCCGTGCGGCTTGGGGCCGCCGTGCTTGCTACCGAGGAGAGGAGCGGGGCCGGGGTCGTAGCAGC